GCCCCGCAAACCTCTGCATGCTACTGTAGATGTCATGTGAACAGCTGTCTCAAGCTCCTGCTTCTTGGACTTTCCTGTAATGATAGACTGTAGCCTGGAATTTCATGCCAGACAAACACCTTTCTCCCCTCAAAGAAAACAAAAATAATAAACAATAACAATAAATAAAATGTAGGTGTGTACAAGAACAAAAAAATGTACAAATTAGACATGTGAGAGATTTACTCTTTTCTAGTAAGTAAGTTTAGCTGGTATATGCCTGTTTCTTTTCATCCCTGCCTTCCTGTCCCTTTATTTTTTTGGTCTTTTTGAGGCAGGGTCTCCTTGTAGCCCCAGCTGTCCTGCAACTCACTATGTAGACCAGGCTGGCCTCGAACTCACAGAGATCTACCTACCTCTGCCTCCCAAGTGCTGGGATTAAAGGCATGCACCACCAAGCCTGGCCCAGTCCCTTTCTTAAGAAATGAATGTTCAGGGGCTGGAGAGATGGTTCAGCAGTTAAGAACACTGGTTCTTCTTGCAGAAGACCCGGGTTCGAATCCCGGCACCCACCTGGTAGCTAACAACTGTCTGTAACTCCAGTTCCAGGGGATCTGACAGCCTCTTCTGTCCTTCATGGGCATTGCACAACATGGGTGCACTTACCCACATGCAGACAATGCACACATACATATAAAATGAAAAATAATGAAACATATTTTTGTTTTGTTTTTGGTCTTTTTGAGACAGGGTCTCCCTGTAGCCCCAGCTGTCCTGAAACTTACTATGTAGACCAGGCTGGCCTTGAACTCACAGAGCTCTACCCTCCTCTGCCTCCCGAGTGCTGGGATTAAAGGCGTACGCCACCACACCCAGCCTTATTGTTCATTTTTTATGTGTATGACTGCTGTGCCTCCATGTATGTATGTATACTCCTGACATGCAATTAGACCAGGCTGGCCTTGAAGTCACAGAGATCCACCTGCCTCTGCCTCCCGAGTGCTGGGATTAAAGGCATGCACCACCATGCCTGGCTTGGTTTTTTTCTTCAATTAACTAATTTTATTTTATTTGTACTTTATGTGTATGAGTGTATTGCCTGCATGTGTGTAAGTGCACCCTTGGTGTGCAATGCCCATGGGGGTCAGAAGGCTTCAGATTCCCCTGGAACTGGAGTTAAGGAAAGTTGTTAGCTGTCCTGTGGGTGCTGAGAATCAAACCTGGGTCCTCTGCAAGAGCAGCCAATGCTCTTAACCACAGAGCCAGCTCTCCAGCTCCAGTCCATTTGTTTTCATGTTGACATCCATTCATTCATTCCAAGAGCAAAAGATAGCACATGACAGTGACTTTGAGTGTGTCTAAGCTGAGCTCAGATTCCAGTCTATCTTGCTTGCTGGCTGTGATCCATTCTTCAATTTCCTTACCTGTGAAAAGGGCATAATTACGAAACTTGTACACAGGATTATTTATGAAAACAAGATGGAATAATCAGGTGCAGCAGAATCAGTAGGTGCTCAGTAATGTTAGGGTTCCAATAGCAGCCCCCTCCCCCTCCCCAACAGGGACCTACAAACTCTGCTGAGAAGCAGCCTGCCTTTCCTCTGACCTCCAAAGATAAGCAGAGTTCCTCTTAAGAGGAAAAGAAGACACTTCCACACCCTAATCCTACCTGCTTCCCCCTCCGTGATTCCACACCCTAATCCTACCTGCTTCCTCCTCCCTGATTCCACACCCTAATCCTACCTGCTTCCCCCTCCCTGATTCCACACCCTAATCCTACCTGCTTCCCCCTCCCTGATTCCACACCCTAATCCTACCTGCTTCCCCCTCCCTGATTCCACACCCTAATCCTACCTGCTTCCCCCTCCCTGATTCCACACCCTAATCCTACCTGCTTCCCCCTCCCTGATTCCACACCCTAATCCTACCTGCTTCCCCCTCCCTGATTCCACACCCTAATCCTACCTGCTCTGAGGATTCCATCTGAGCCTCCGTGCCTCATCCATCCGCTCGTGCCTCCTCCATCTGCGCCGCTCGCTCCCGCCCATTCTCTACCTATCAAGTAATGTTATTTACATATTAGCAAAGGAAACAAGCTTTGAAGAGGAACAATGCATTCATCTGAGTCCTCAATGGCCTCTGAGAGACCTAGCGTCCAGAGACCCTCTTCCAATGCAGAATGCTCGGAGCCGAGATTCAGTCTCAACTCCGTTTCAAACCACGCCCCCCCCTTTTTTTTTTTGGTCTTTTTGAGACAGGGTCTCCGTGTAGCCCCAACTGGTCTGGAACTCACTTTGTAGACCAGGCTGTCCTTGAACTCACAGAGATCCTCCTCTCTGCCTCCGGAGTGCTAGGATTAAAGGCGTGCACCACCACGCCGGGTCCCATGTCAACTCTTAACCTGGAGGCTGAACCTAAAGGGAGGGCAGGCCTGTCTCAGTTGTCGGCCGTTTGGCTGCTGCCCAGGTGCACCAATCTATGATCTCCGGGGGTGGGGGGGTGGTCAGGGCGGCAGAGGCGCGTGGACTACAGTTCCCAGGGTTTCCGCGAGGCGCCGAGAGCGCAGGCGCGGTTGCAGAGCCGGACATATATAGTCCCGATGCGGGCCGCTGTTCGTCCTTTCGCCCGGCTCCAGCGCGAGAGTTAGTGGCTGTGTGGTACTCGGTGTGTGTCTCTCCGCCCGACCCCGGCCGGCCCTGGCCCGCTGCTTCTTCCAAGGCTACGGGATGCGGAGCGTAGCACGGAGTACCTCGGCCTACCCTCCTCGGTGGCGGAGGCCCTGCCGGCCCAGGACTGCCTCATGCGCAGTGAGATTTCCGAGCCTGCGGGGCCGCGCCCTTAACCGGTGAGTGGAGCGGGCGGTTGGGGAGCGTGAATTAGATGGATGGGGAGCTGGTAACTAACCACTTGGGACTGCAGGGATTACGTGCTCGGGTTGAAATCGTTTTGCTTTGAGGAATGACTCCCATCTGAACACGCCTGTGACAGTTGTCTGCTGAGTGACCTTCAGCAAGTAGATTTCCTCGACCCCAGTTTTCTGGAGGTTACCCTGGTGAATGCTAAGACTTTTTGGCGGTATATGCTAGGTGGTCCGTATCCCAGCCACAATCCCCAGGCCTTTAAAAAATTTACTGTTTTATTTTTTTTTTCTAAGACAGGCTCGCCCTGTAGCCTCAGGAACTTGCTACGTAGACGAGGCTGACCTCGATCTCAAGGATCTGCCTCCCGAGTGCTGGAATTGAAGGTTTGCGCCACCATTCCCGGTTTATTTTTTGAGAGCCCAGCACTTAGCTCACTGCTGTAGCCTGGACTTGGATGGCCGGGTCAGGAGGACCCTAGGGAGTTTGAGACCAGCCTTAGCTACATAGTAAGATCTTGGGTCCCAGCGTTGTCACTTTCTGACATAAGCTTGCCCTGATAAAGCAAGTTAATTGATCTGAACCTCCTTTTGTGTGTGATGCTAGGGGATGTGCCTTGGTATTCTACAACTGAGCTATCAGTCTGGCCTGAACCCTTTTTAAAAAACTGGTTCTGAAGATCTTGCTAAACAGGCTCTCTACCACAGCCACACCCCAATCATGAGCTGCTTAGTTCTTAAAATGGTTCTGGGGCTGGAGAGATGGCTCAGCAGTTAAGAGCACTGGTAACTCTTGCAGTGGACCTATCTTCCATTTCTGACATCTGCAGGCATTGCACAGTGTACTTACATGCAGGCAATACACATAAAATAATTTAAAATGGTTCTCTGAATATTAAGATGAAGGAGACACAAAAGAGGCATTAGCCAGGAATGGTGGTGCAAGTTTGTAGGCTCAGCATCACAGGAGGAAGCAGGAAGGTCATCAACTTAAGACTTCTGGGCTATATATCAAGACCTTGTCTCAAAATAACATTTTTAGGAGGCATGCCGGGCATAGTTGTACACACCTTTAATCCCAGCAGAGGTAGGTGGATCTCTGAGGTCAAAGCCAGTTTGGCATACATAGCAAGTTTCAGACCAGTCAGGGTTACATACTGTAAAGGCCACTATGACTTGTGGTTTGCTTTTTAGGTTGGTCTCAGGCAGAGACAATATAGCTTAGGGTTTGTGATTCAGGTGGCTTGTGGGTTTGAGGTCTCTGACCCTCACTGCCTCGGCCCTTATCGAAGCTGCAGCTGCTTCCACATAGCAGCTGTGGTCAAAAGGAGGCCCAGATGAACTTTTTCCTTGACGGTCGCAGTTCTGTTTGCTGTAACTGATCTGCAACATTTGGGGAAAAGACAGTTCCATCTTGTTTCTTGGGGATAGCCAAAAATGCCATAAATGTGTTATCAAATGGGGCTTCTGGAAGCATCTTGCTGAGCTCAAGAATTAAGCAGCTTGGAGGGGCAGTTGCATATTTGTTGGACAAATATTTGTCCATATTTGTCTCCTGAGGACAACTGGTACACTGCAATGCTTTAGACTATTGTCCTGTAAACTACGGCCGTCAGCGCTGAGCAAAGGTGAATGGAACTCATTCTGGATAATTGTATTTGTCTTAGCTGTGCCAGATGAAGAATCCCTGAAGATGCATGAGGAATCCAGGAGACGGTGACATCATGCAGCAAAAGAACAGGTAAGTATGAAGACTGACTTGGGACTTCCTTGTAAGACAGCATGTTTCCAAGGGCTGTGGCTGCTTGTGGCCATGGGATCTCCAACTGCATGCCAGAGCAATGTGGAGAGACTTTGACAGCTCAGGTCAGCACAGTACCTGCAGCTGCCACTCGCCTTTCCTATAGACATCAGGACTGGGGCTGGAAGCCTTCCACTCTAGTCATATGTATGTGTCCTCTCAGCTTTCACACAAAGCTTTTCCTTCTGCAGGTTGCCCCCCACCCTGAGTTTCTCTTAGAAGAGTCTGAGACCAGCCTGTACATTACACTAAGGTACATTGATGTATAGGGCAGGACCCTCCTGTTCCCTTTCCCATTGGATCTCAACACTGGTCTTTGTGGTCGTAAAGGAGGGAGGGCGTGCTGAAGCTGGCCTCACAGGCTTGTAGACTGGTTATAAGCATGTGGGCCAGATTCAAACAGGGCTGCGTTTATTTTTGGAAATGGGATGATCTAACCAGGCATGATGGTGCACACCTTTAATCCCAGTACAGGCCAGCTGGGGCTACAGGGAGACCCTGTCTCAAAACTACCAAAAAGGAATGGGATACTCTTAAGAATTAGAGGGAGATGAATGGAGAGCTCTGGGTAGTTGGTTGTAGCACTTGCTTGTCTTTTGTGCTTTTAGAGCTATGTAACCAGTAAAGGCGCACCATCCTTGACTACTCACCACCAGTTGGGTAAGTTAATGACAGTATAGACCTGTCCTGAAGTACAGTAGAATTGCATTCATAGGTTCTGCTGGTCCCGGATGAAACATAATCTGAGTGGACATCTATGGATGAGAAATGCGGATATGGGACTGAGACCAGCTTTTAGGAAAAGGCTTAGTTAGGTGGGGCTTGTTGTGGACAGATCTCACAAGTGGTCTTATACTTCTTTTTCAGAAAAAGGTCATAAGGAGCAGACAAGGACAGCTTGGCTAATGTATGGTGCCTGTGCCTGTGGGTGGATTAATAAAGACTTCTTTTGAAAGTGTCTTCTCAAATTGTTGGCTTTCTTTAATTCTTAAAAAACTTTTTTAGCTGGCTGTGGTGGCGCACCCCTTTAATCCTAGCACTTGGGAGGCAGAGGTAGATGGATGTTTGTGAGTTCAAGGCCAGCCTGGTCTACATAGCGAGTTCCAGGACAGCTGGGGCTATAGGGAGACCCTGTCTCAAAAAGACAAAAATTTTTGTATGGATGTATTGCCTGCATGTGTGTAAGTGCACCTGTGTCACGCAATGCCATGCAATGAGGAAGACAGAGGGCATCGGATCCCTTCAGCTGAAGCTATAGGTGGTTATTAATCACCATGTGGTTTATGGGTTTCAAACCTGTCTTCTGCAAGAGCAGCCAGTGATCTTAACCACTGATCTTTCCACCTCCCAGTTAATCTTTTTCAAAGATCTTTGATTGGATATATGGTATTGGGGGGGGGTTGCCCTATGAGGATATAAGAGGGTGTCCAGGCTCCCAGAGCTGGAGTTATAGGCAGGAAGTGCTCTTAACTGCTGAGCCATCTCCAGCCTCTTTTGGGCTATTTGATAACTCAAAATGGACCCCAATCTGAAGCTTCATAGAAGTTTCCTTTGGGGTCTACCTTCCATTCTACCAATTCATTGGAGACAAATGGTACTACTGAAAATACTGTAGGCTAGCAGGGCACATGCACTTAACCCCATCTCAGACCCTATCTCTGATGGCCAGGCCTGGTAGCACACACCTTTAATCCCAACAGAGGGTCTCTGTTGTGAGTTCAAGGCCAGCCTGATCTATAGGGAGACCCTTCCATTTATACTCAAGGTAGCTAATTACAGGTTGGGGGTTAGCTTGGCTTGGGTCCTAGATAGAATGAGTGTTAACTTGTGAGTCCTTTTTTCTAGAGTCATGTGATATAAGGAAATAACTGAGTTTGTTAGTTGTTGGTCTTTCCCACATCAGTTTACCACCAATGAAGGGAATATTGAAGAAGTCATTTATTAATCTCAGGAAATAGTACTTTATTAAAATGCTACAAATTATTCCCAAAAGATAAAAGCTTCACAATATTTTTAAAAACTTGTCCTGATACAGTCCACTTTTGTCCAGGCTACAACACAGCAGGGATCTCTGAAGACACTGTGTCCAGCGGCTGCCAGTGACAGTCCATCAGTGCGTCATACAGTTCCTCACTCTGCTCCATGAACTCTTTGTTGGCCTCAGTCACATCCAGCTGTGGTGTTGGGTCTGGGGAAATAGCAAGGGCAAGGCCAAAGCTTTGCCAAATGAATCTAGCATTGGAGGGATTCACTTCCCTACCCAGACTGACTTAGAGAACTACATCTCTGTCAAAGGGGCTTCCTCAGGAACGTTTATCATTATCTGATGGAAGAACCAGACAGACATGCAGGAGCTGACAGACCTAGTCCTGTTTTTGTTCATAATTGGCAAGGCAAGGTGGGGCACCCCTGTAATCTCATTCCTGGAAGGTGACGGCAGAAGATCATGAGTTCTAAGCCAGCCTGAGCTATGTAACTAAGACTGTCTCAAACCATGGCAAACTTGTGTTATGTTGAGACCAGGTCTAACTATGTTGCCCAGATGAACTTCAAACTCACTCTGTCTCAGCTTCTTGAGTGGGATTACAGGGGTGCCCCACCATCCTGGACGATGAATGGCATATGCGCTCAGTATAATCTTCAATGTAGAATTTTTTTTTTTTTGATGTGAGCCTTGAACTCACAGTAATCATCCTGTTTCAGCCTTCCAACATTTTAAAACTCAATCTTTGTGTGTGTGTGTGTGGGGGGGCGCCTTAAACTCAGTCTTTTTACGGGGGAGGGGGTGCTTTTTGAGACAGGGTCTCCCTGTAGCTCCAGCTGGCCTGGAACTCAACAGAGGTCCACCTGCCTCTGCCTCTCAAATGCTGGGATTAAAGGCATGCACCACCATACTCAGTCCTTTTGTACCTTAAGAAAACTTCTGGCAGGGTGTAGTAGTACATGCCTGTAATCCCAGTACTTGGGAGACCAGAGGATCAAGAGTTCAAGGTCATCCATGGCTACATAGTGATGAAAGCAAGCCTGGGATACATAAGACCTTGTCTTGAAACAATGACTATTAAGCTGAGTGTGGTGGCGCATAAGGCGGGTGGATCTCTGTGAGTTCCAGGCCAGCTGGGGCTACAGGAAGACCCGGTCTCAAAAATAACAACAAAAAACAGTGACTACTATAGGATTAGGGTGATATCTAGAGTATTTCAGGTCTCTGCCCTCAAATTTTAGATCGTATTTTTTCCTTTGAGAACTTTTTTTCTGGAACAGGCTCCTAGGCAGGCTAGTCTGGAACTTATGGCAATCCTAACATCAGCTTCCCAAGGGCTGTCATTACAGATATGTACAACCATGCCTGGCTGAATCTTACTACTTTAAATTTAAAAAACCATGCAGTTTAAGACGTGTAGGCTAGGGGACTGCAGCTCAGTGGTACAGCATTTGACTAGCATAATGTGAGGCCCTGAATTCTATCCCCAGCACTAAAAATAAGCTGAAAAATAGAAAAATTTAAGATAAAATTAATTCTACTGGTAAGCAAATAGCAGTAAACTGATACTGTTAGAGACCCACATCTCTAGGCTTCCTGGGATCTACACTCACTTTGGGGTAATACTGCACCTTGAAATGAGCATGCTCACTCCCAACAGAATGCACGTTCCTCCAGAGCACAATTTTCCTTGCATTGTTCAGCATCTAAATGAAGCAAAAAGGCCAGCCATAGCTGTCGCATGGTAACGGCTGACAGAGGCATGAATGAAGGGACTCTTACCTTCCAGTGCATCATCCCCGACTTCTTCATATGTCTGTCAAGAGATGAGAGGAGTGAGTGAGGAGCCTGACCAGATCCTGGCTGAGTCTGACAAGCAGAACGAGTCATTCTAGTCTTCCCCACATTTTTCAAGCCCAAGCCCATTATCAGTTCCATTGAGAATGATGGTCTCTAGAGGGGAAACGAGTCTAGAGTTGCCAAACTGCTTACCTGCATGGTGCTCTGCGTGTAGCCATACTGGGGGTAACTGTAGCTGTAGCTGCCTGTGTTCTGGTCATAGCCCCACTGGGCATAGTAGTTCTGGTACTGCTGGTAATACTGGTTGTAGCTGTAACTGTACATCTGACTATATTCCATGGTCTTTACACGACTCCTTACATGAAGAAAGAAAAATAAATGTAAGCAGACGTCTCCACCATTTCTTCTAAATGCTCTAGGAAGATTAACTCCTTTAATCGTCACAACTGCCCTACACACAAGTATTCCATTATTCCTGCCAGACAGATGGGACAATGGAACAGAGTTTAGGTGACTGACTGGTCCACAGTCTTAAAGCAAACCTAGGCAGCCTGTCTGCAGAATCCATGCTTTGAAGCTAGAAGCTTTTACTGGTCAGGTTGTCTCTTGTCAAACCTTGCCAGGACCCATTCTTTTCTCCCTTCTCAAGATCTTGGAAGGCTGTTTTCTCTGCCAGCTGCAAAAGCTCAGGAAAACACAGCATAAAAATCTGTACTTAGGATGATTTGGAAAGCATTTCAAACCACAGGCTGTGTAATCACTTTCCCCACAGAAAAGACATTCCTACTGTCACTGTAGTGATGTTATTTGTGGTAGGCCTGAAACTCGGAGCCAAACATGCTAAGCAGATCTATTGCAGTTACACCCCCAGTCACAACTATGAATTATTTGATGAGTTTCTTGGAATTTATGCCACTTTTGCTTTTGTAGTGCTGGGGATCCAGCCCAGGGCTGCCTTGTGCACTCAGCAAACGCCCTACCACTAAGTCATTCCCAGCCCTGTGCCATTTTCCAATTAGAAGCACCTATTTTAAGTCTCTTGCAGCCATACAACAGAGGTGTTATTTATCATTACCATTAGATAAATGAGAAAGCTGAATTTCTAAATGCTCAGGGCTGGAGAAATGGCTCAGCAGGTAAAAGTGCTTGCTGTGTACACAGGTCTGACAACCTAAGTTTGATCCCCTGAACCCACATAAAGGTGAGGAAAACCAGCACAAAGCAATGGCTGACCACATGCGTACTGTAGCATGTGCATATCTGCATTCTCATACACAAAAAACACAACAAAGCGAAACTGAAGTCTTAAAAAGTAAATAAATGAATAAATACAAAGTTTGGTGATTTGTTCAAGGTCATGCCAAGGACCAGAGCCAGACCGAACTAATCCTACACTATTCTATACACCTGTCCTGATGAACACACATCTTACTAGTCTACACCCTACATTCACCAATCGTGGCTGAGGCCCAGGGCTGGAGAGAAGCTTTTTTCTCAGTAAGAATGACCAAAGACAGAATGCCAAGTCCACAAAGGACCCAGTACTTTCAAAGACATAAAAACCATCTAAGTAGCAGCTTCTGAAACTGGCTTGGGTCAGACCAATAATCTGAATGCCAGGCATCCAGGGAAGACAACTGAAGCTCAAGTTCATGGCAACAAACGCTCAGTGTCCCCATGACACAAACACATGCAGAAGCTGGAGGCTGACCCCACCATGCAGCTGGCTACTTTATAAGGAGAATCACAATGATCCTGAGAACACGCTTCTGTCCTCATGACCAGTACATTCAACTTCTACAGTCAAGACAGGAAGCGAAGCTGTAAGAAACAGTCGAGAACAGCATACATGCAAATTCCTGTTCCAGGAACTGCTCCACACTTGAATGCACTTTTCCTAAGTTCCCTGCTTGATAAGCAGGACTCTGCCAGTGTGGTTAAACAGACTCAAGTCTGACTGCCCCAGACTTTGCCTGAAGCATCCACTTCCACCAGAATGGTTCAATGAGAGCCTTCTTGCCTAGCACTGAATTGGGCACACCATATAGTCACCTCTTTTATGATTCCATGGATGTCCCCCAGTCTGCTGACATGTTTGGTAACTGAGGTACATCTCCCTGGCCTAAGTCTGGAGTTGTCACCTTTGGGCACCTATGCATGTTTCATTCTAATTCTCCACATACA